TTTAAACGGTTATAACAAAAAAACTAGTCATGATCAAGCTTTGTGCCTATGGATACTTTTGATCAGTGGGTCAAGAACTATAACATACTAAAATTTCAGCCAATTTAACCGAGGGCCAAAATCCTATGATTTTGTGCGGGGTCCTTTAGCGTCACTCTTTAACTTTTAATTTTTCAATTACTTTTTTTTATTAACTTAACTTTTAATTCAATTAATTTCATTATACATTAACTTGTATCTTAACTAAGTTAAATTTTCAAGGTTGTTAACTTTAATTTAACTTAGTTAAAAGAAAAAATTAATTTACCCAATCCTGGATACAACAATATTATTTTTCAGATCTATTTAGCTAAATTTGTTGATACATCAGCAAAATTATTCTTTCCATGCATTAATTATACAAAATATATCTTTATTTTACACTTATTTATACCACTGCAATTTTTAGGAATTGAAAGAATATTGTTCCAAGTTTATGGAGAAGGAAGGAATACTATAATGACTCACACCCGTTATCGTAGTTTTGGCAGAAATACTGCAAATGACGCCAAATGAATATCCTTAAATGGATTTTCACCGGAAAAAAGTTAAAGCCAAAAATGTTTAAATAGAGTTATATATCGCGCTTTGCGTGGAAAGCCCCTAGGCAAAAGGGAGATATTGTTTGCGGAATTTCACTCCAGCAATATATAACATTATTTAAACATTTTTGACATTAAACTTCTCTTCCGGTGGAAATCCTTTGAAGGACATAGATCAATTCACATCATGTGGAGTATTTCTGCCACAACTCATGGTAATCAGGCATGTATGATTTCCGAAAGTTCAGCCAATTTAAGGTTGTAAGAAGAATGCAATATGTTAAGAATTGCTTGAAATTTGGACATAGCTTTATCTATAAAGCATGCTTTTATGAAAATTTTTTCAGATTTTTTGACCAGCTCATTTTTTTGTAAATTAATAAAAAAATTCTGGATTTTATAATAGACTATCTCTCTTTCTCTTATAGGAGACTCGATTCTATGTATCTGTTTTCAACAAATATTAATATTTGACAGGGTTGAATAGTGCCAAGTTAAAAAGCTAAAAGTTAAGTTAAAAAGTTGAAAAGTTAAATAATTTTAACTTAACTTAGTTACATTTTAGACTCTTAACTTTTTAACTTTATTTACGTGTATGCATAAGTTTTTTCTGGTTTTTTGGTAAAAAAAAACACGTAATTTTCAAGGGAAATTAATTTTTTTTTATTCAAAATATTGGCCATCGGCTTCTACACATTTCGCCCATCTTTCAGGTAATTTATGAATACCATGCCAGAAAAACTGCTTGTCTTTTGCGGCAAACCATTCGTCGAGCCATTTTCCAACTTCCTCGAAATTGCTGAAGTGCTGCTCTGCGAGCGCGTGCCCCATTGATGCGAAGAGGTGATAGTCAGATGGCGCCAGGTCTGGGGAGTACGGCGGGTGCGGAAGGATGTCCCATCCAAGCGATTTCAAGGTGTCTTTCACTAGTTTTGCTGTGTGAGACGGCGCATTGTTGTGTAACAGAATCACTTTGCCATGTCTTCTGGCCCATTCCGGTCGTCTTTCGATTAATGCGTGGTTTAAATTAATCATTTGTTGGCGATAGCGTTGTGTATTAACGGTTTCG